CGGGGCCAGGGGGCGCGGGCGCGCCCTGTGGCGACAAAAACACGGCCAAAAATAAAACCACAACCCCAAAAACAACCCCCCCCCCCCGGGCCCCCCCCCCCCCCCCCGAAGAAAAAGAGGAAGAGACAGATACGAGATATATACTCACTCCGCCTCAATCAACCCCGTCAACGCCTTCTCCTTCTCCCCCCGAATCTCATCGACCCTCGCCTCCAACCTCACACACTCCAACTCCGCGCCCTTCAATTTCGCCCGAAATTCTTGTTCTAGGCCTACATTGTTTTGCTCGAGTTGGGCTTGGATGTTGGCTTGCTTGCAGAGGAGGGTGTTGATTTTTGTCATTTGGGTTTGGAGGGAACGGATTTGGCGTTGGTGGTCGCGGATTTCTTTTTGTTCGGTTTCGAATTGGGCTGAGGGAAATGGGAAGAGGGTGAGAAAGGATGCGGAGTCGAGAGTTTTCCTTTTTCTTGTTTCCTCCCGAACTTGGAGATGTCATGCAAGCGAAAGGGAAGAAAATACTTACTATTGACAACCATCTTCTTCCGATTCAAAACCGTCAACTGCATCTTCAAATCCCCAATCTCGTCGCTCAACTCTCCGGACCCTTTACTCATAGCCACAAGCTCATTCTGCGCCCTCAACCAAAACGTTTGCAAATCCGCACACTCCTTCTCCTTCATCTGCACCGACTTCGTCAAATTATGTATCGTCGCCTCAAGCGGTCCCATACTCTCATCCTGATTCTTCGCCGTCAACTGATCGTATTTTTTATTGAGTAAATCCATCTCAGCTTGTTTTTTGCCGAGGTCGTCATTACGTTTCCGGATTTCGGTTTCGTATTTTTCGATTATGGAGTTTTTAAGGGCGATTTCACGGTCGAGGCGTTCACAGGATTCTTTGATTCGGGCGATACGTTGTTGGACGTTGAGGCTGTCCAGTCTCAGTACGGACAACTCATTTTGGACGGTTGCGATATGTGCCTCACGTTCATGCAAAAGCGCCCTCAACTTCCCCGCATCCCTCTTCGTCGCACTCTGCCCCTTCTCAATCGAAACCTGACTCTGCAACCTCTCTGCAATCTCCCCCTCCAATTTCTGCGTCATCCCAACAACCTGCCCCGTCTGCTTCACAATCGCATTAATCTCCAACTGCAACGCCTGTCGCTCCGCAAGAACTTGTGCTAGCTCTGATTCAGTTTGGGAGAGGGATTTGGTGTACATTGTGTAGGACTCTTTGAGACGGTCTTTGGCTTCGGTTACTTGGGTGATTTGGTTTTTGAGGTAGTCGACTTCGTTTTCGAGGCGGTTGAGGAGGAGGGTTAAGGATTCGTTGGTGGAGGCGGCTTTGCGGAGGGAGTGTTTGAAGCCGGAAAGTTCGTTGGTCATGTTGAGGAGTTCGGATTTGTTTTTTCTTTTTTTTTGACATTGAAAAGAAAGAAAGAAAGAAGGGAGAAGGGAACAAAGAGAAGGGAGAGAGACAGAAGAAGAGAGACAATAATGAGCAGGAAAATTACAAAGCGAAGCTCAAATCATGGAACCCATCTTTACCGCTCCCGAAAAAAGAATGCCTGCCCACACCCAAAAACAGAAAAAAGGCTTACTGTATCCCTTCCTCGATCTGCTGCATCATCTCATCCCTCCTCTGCAACCCCAACAAACTACTCCTCCACTGCTGAATCAACTGCCTCTTCTCAAACTGTATCGCCTCCATCTCCGTCGCCGCATCCTGCAACGTCTCCAACGCCGCCTTCGTCTCCCCCTGCTGCGCAACCAATTGCATTTCATACAGCGCACGTCGTTCTTGTAATCTTTGGAGTTGTTGGGTGAGTGTGTCGACGAAGTAGTCTTGACGCTTTTTTTCGAGCTCGGTACGGGTTATGTCGGCTTCGGCTTTGAGGGCTGTGCGTTTTGCGACGGCGATTTTGGATTGGAGGTCGGATTGGTAGAAGTCGACTTGACGGAGGGAGTGGGTTATTTTAGAGAGCTCGGTTTTGTGTTGGTCCACTGGAGTAAAAAAGAGAGGAGGCGAAAGTATGAGAACACGAAAAGATGAGGTAAAAAACACCGAAGAAAGAAATTGAAGTAAACCAGTAAACCTTTCCCC